ATGCACGGTACCAGTTGAACCCGTGATAATGTTGTAGTTGGGCACAGCTTAAGGTGGAGATTATTTTATTTCCAAATAACCCATGCATGTCACACAATTAACTTGCATCAACATTAAATTCTAGTTGTTTTTTTTTTTCGCTATTCTCACATCGCATTGCTCATTCACATTAAAATCTGTTCACACCAACACTGAGTTGATTCATTGTGAAGGTTGAGAAATGACGCCATGTGATTGCGTTTTAGCACCATTGATATAATGCATTTTGAATGATAAAATATAACTTTTCGTGGAATGCTTTCAAACAGTCGAGCAAGCAGAATGCTCAGCCGTCTCCTCTGATTGGCTAGGCGCCTTCATAAGGTCGAGGTCAAGCGATATCAATAAATGCACACCATTTAAACTGTCGTAAACTTGCGTACGAGTACGCTGCATTATTTCACTGCTGTCGTAGTCATCTTCGTTGCTTGATTTGCAAAGTCAACGAAATTCAAAGTTGCACAATAGATACCACTTCACAAGAGCTTAATGATTCTTCCAGTTGAAGAGCGAGATGATGCGTGATCGAGCCACACATGCAAGCGTGTCAACAAGGGGTGAAACCTTGTCTCCTTGAAGGTGAAGGTAAAATAGAGTGTAATGAACTTTAAAAAGCTCCCGATCTTGCTTTATAAGTCAGTCTGTGGCAACACCTCAATTTGACTATAAGGAAAACCCACAAACTCTCGTCGGCGCGTTGTTAAAACTCCAAACGTTTGCTTCTTTGCCAATGATCCCATCCTAGGTCGCCAACATAACCAGTACAAGAACTCTAATTTGCAGACGAAAAGACTTGACAAAAGGGAGCGACTAAACAATGTCTACAAAATAATGACGCTGTTGATACTGTTATTCTTCACATGGGTACTCCAAAACATGTGATTTTGGCAGAACACACATGCAGTTCCATGCCAAGTAACCCATCAATACGCTTGAGAATTATCCACACATAAGCTCATCCCAAGAAAAGACTAGAACTATCGAGCTACTTGAGGTAGAGAGACTGTGCGCTCTCCTGTGATTTTGCACCTCATTGGCTGAAGGGCGGCGGTATTTAAAGCCTTTCAAGGTAGCTTACAGGTCTGTTACGGTGTTCGTGTGTACCTCTGTGTACTCTCAGCAACGCCCAAAAGTATGGCGGAAACACGGTACGAAGAGGTGAACTACTCCAAGCAACATGGAAAAAGTAGTTGCTGTCTCAAATTTTGGCTTGCATTTTTCGTGATCGTCAGTCTAGCTCTTATTGGTGTTGTCCTGTGGTTGCTTTTGGCGCCTAACAGTGCCAGCGACTTAAACGCTCGGTCTAGAGGTGAGAAATTTGTTTAACTCAAAGTGCTTTCTATCAAAATTTATTTTCTAACCTGACACCTGTAGTTACGAATAAAAAAACTCCTACTAAAAGTTGTGAAATACATTTCCTCATCCTGGAATTTTTTGTATTCATTTCCATATTTTTGCTTTGAATCCTCAATTGATGAAAATAAAAGATGCAAATTTTTTGTATTAACATTCAAGTTTCCACTTCCTTGTTTTCTAAAGAGGGGCACGCTGTAGCTTCTGCGGCTTCAGCCACTATTGCTACATGAATGCCAATGTAGTGCCTATATAGTTTGCATTGATTTCGTGAAAGCGAGCCTTTCAAGTATTACTCCGTCATTGCACAAAAAACGCGTCATTTTCAAGGTTATTTATGCATTTTAAAAGCGTCGAATGGTACAGCCGCCCTTCAGACGGCTTCAGGAACAAACCGACCGGGATTATGCGCCCTCCCCCCAGCTCAGGGACCCTGCAAAGCCACCATCTGGCGTTATTACTTCGACGCCACTTCTGGTGAATGCAAGAAGTTCATCTACGGTGGCTGCTCAGGCAACGCCAACAACTTCATTTCAATTCAGGAGTGCATGAATACTTGCATGCTTCTACCCGGTAAACTATTTTGAGCCTCAAAACTACAAACCAAAATTTGAAAATAGTGTGGGGCTAGTCCACTTGCAATACACAAGCTGGTAACTCATTGCTCACCGAAGTTTTCACCGTCGCTCCTTTGCGCAAGTGGCATGGCATTTCCTTGAGGCTTCCTATTTGGTATTGGAAGACATTAGTCATGGCTGAGTACTTGTATTCAGAAAAAAAGAACAAAGGTGAGGCCAGCCCACTCGGCAGGAGCAGAATGTCCGCCAAAGTGACTGCTATAACAACCAGTTGTTAAAATAAGTGGGATATATACCAGCCTGTTTATTCAGTGCTCCTTTACTTCCAACACAAATTCATCAAAACAGCTACAGTATTTACCATGTCCAGTTTTAAATGCTAATTAATAGGCATTCTTAGGATCAAAATCTTCAAATATGATAATTATTTTGATAGAACGACCAAAACCGAAATTTTGTCGCCTGGAAATGGATCCTGGTCCTTGTTTCGGCGCTATTTTGCGCTACGCCTACGACGAGAAGCTCGGCAAGTGCGTCGAGTTTGCCTACGGTGGATGTGACGGGAATGCAAATAACTTCGAGACACTTGAAGAATGCGAAAGGAAATGCGTGGGTAAGTCGCATCTCAAGTGCTTCAAAAATGCCCTCAATTTGCACGTTTGCACTGACAGCACTGCACACTTCGACACAACAAAATAATTGCAGTCAAAATGGGGCTCACTCTCAGTGTAGTGAGGCAACAAATAAAGAACCCAATAAGTATTTTATTTTAACGACATTACGCTTTGTTTAAATGCAGTGTACTTTCCCTTGATCGGATTTTATGCCTGCTATGGCAAATTTTGTCCTATAAATACTCTATCCGATGCTTTTGCTCAGTGGTGTGGAAGGAGTTGAAAGGGATCAAAACGCCCCTTTTCCACATGTGTTCAGAGGTGCCCGTTAGGCGGTGAAAGCCCGTCTAAAGTGCCTCAAAATCAAGGAGCTACAGTATTCACAACCAGATGGGCGGCAAAGCAGTCTTGGATATTACCACCAGTACTTCAGACTCTCCTTGTTTAAACATTTTCCTGTAAATTTGCCATGATGTGCCACATGACATTTCGTTATTCTACTTCGCAGAGTCACATCAAATTGGTGTTAGCTCATTTTTAAAATTTTCGATTTCCTCTTTGGTGGGATCACACAATATCTGCAAATTTTGGGGAATAAATGGAAATGGCAAAGTAACTTGCTGTCTTCATTTTGTTGACAGTAGGGGAACTTGAACCTGGCACATCATCCGACGGTGGAATTAGTGCGGTTGACACAACGCTGTGCCACCTGCCACACGATCCAGGCAACTGCTACGCACACATTCAACGGTGGGCATTCGATGCCAACTCTGGTCAGTGCGTTCAATTCATCTACGGTGGATGTGGTGGCAATGCCAACAACTTCGAGACGAAGGAGGCGTGTGAACGACGCTGTCTCGGTTAGTCTCTCCCTCTCTCTCTCTCACATACGCGCACAGACAAACATGAATTTCTCTGCGTTGACTTCAATCTCCGACTTCTTCTCTTCTATTCCCTTCCCTTCCCTTCCCAAATTCTCCCACCTTTCCGCTGCTATCACCTCCGTGCCACAACCAGCCAACATTCCTCTGGCTAGACCGGCCACTGGTGATGATGGTCTTCCAGATGCGGTGTGCAGTTTGCCGGCGGAGGTTGGACCGTGCCGTGGAGCGCTGAAACGATGGTACTACGACGTGTCGAAGGGGCAGTGCACGGAGTTTGTGTACGGTGGATGCAGAGGAAATGCCAACAACTTTGAGTCGAAGGAGGCGTGTGAGGCAAGATGCAGTGGTGAGTTATCGCCTCCGCCTTCTTCCCTATTCTATTCACTTACCAATTTTCTGTCGACCAATTTCTTCCCAACGGTATAGTTGGATGTACATCATTACGAGTGACTTTGTAGCAT